TTTTAATGTTCCTGGCTTCCGTGTTTTTCTGCTACTAATGTGCTATGCAGGAGTGCTAGTGGTGCTATGTGTCGCTGCTAACGATGAGGTCTGCAGTTTGAACCCACCAGCTGCTCCGCAGAATAAAAATCTGGCTTTTTGCTCCCATAAAGATTTACAGCTTCAGAAACCCACAGGGCACTCCTACTCTGTCCTTTAGGGCACTAGCAGTCAGCATTGACTTGATGGCAGGGAGGTTTGTTTATTATAATTATTTTATTGGAAGTGCTATGCCTGTGGAAACTAGATCTTAAAGATTGAGTTGGACATGGAATCAGGAATCTGTTTACTGAGCTTCACGAATTAAGAGGGAATCATGCACATGTGATTAGTAAGAAGAAGTCACATACCAAACCAAAATCAAATGCATTGCTGTCGGGCCGAGTAGAACTGCTGTCTAAGGTGTTGTTTTTAACGGTGATGAAGGAAACCTTCTTCAAGGAGGGAACTTTAAAAATTTATTTCTAAACTTTTATTTGTGAATTGGGTGAAGATGTACAAAGCAGATGATCAGTTTTATAACTCAGACACATTTTCCCCTCATCTCTTTCACTGTAATCCCCTCGTTGTGACATCCCTGATCTCAGTCTCTCTCCCATTCCTCCTCCTTTTTTAACTCTTAGAACTTTATCCTTGGGTAATTGCTACCTTTTTAATCTCAAATGGTTGACTATTTGGGGGAGTACATACTTCTGGGGAATGCATACTTCCCTGATCTTATTGGTCCCCTGTAGACCTATCTCTTGTTTGACTGATGTCACAGGGCTGAGTTCAGTTCCAAACCTGCAGGATGCCTAAGGGCCATAGTCATGGCCGCTCCACCCCACTCTCCCCCCAGCAGAGTGCCTAGCAGCCCTCTTCCGCTCTCAGTGTGAACGCATGTGCCACTGGCACGTGCCGGGTGGTTTCTATACAAAAGGAAGTTATTCTTTTTTGTGGGTTGATATAATTCTCAGGGTAACATCCCATCTTCATTATGGCATTTCTTTACTTACTGCCTTTTATTAGTTAGTACAAGATGCTCTTAAGCTAAGCCATACATTTTCTCATTCTTCCTGCTGACTCACTTTCTGACTTTTAGCACTGAATCTCACAGTAGAACGGGGACAGTGCATGCTATGTCCCAAAGTAAAACATTGTAAGGCACTCTGAAAAATGCCAAGTGATTCTTGTAAAGATTTCCTCTCGGAAATTATGTAAAGTGTGAAGACCAGGTATTTCCCCGTCTTTTTTTGACTTCAACTGTTCTTACTTATTTTACTAAATATGTCAATTCCACACTAATGTTGACTATACCCAAGTGATGTTAATGATGCTTCCTGAGGTTAGAGAAACTACTAATTTCTTGTTTTTTAAAAACTTGTTGTTTTAAACAATGTGATTGAATTTCAGAGTATTTTAGGGGAATCATAACTCATCGTTGCCTTTATCTCTGTTGCAATCACATCAAAGCCCAGTATCTCAATTCACTCCACTGGAGTAGATAGCCTCATCTTTTTCCTGTGGAATGGCTAGTGGGTTTGAACTGCAGACCTGTAGTTAGCAGCCTAACATTTAACCCACTGCACTGCCAGGGATATCATGTATATAAAACCAGGCTTGTGTTAGAAACTTTGCCAGGACAGTTACCCACCCAGTGCCATTAAGTTAATTCCAACTTAACCTTGTAGGACAAAGTAGAACTGCCTCTGTGAGTTTCTGAGAGTCTGAGTACAGAAGAATATCTTCAAATTTCTGAAGGGAATAAAATATGTTTCAAGCATTTCCAACTATTCACCTTGCTCTTTTAAGTATATGATTAAAAAATACAGTAACCATGACCATGCCATATAAATAAATAAATATAAACGGAGGACAGAGTTCAGGCAGCCAAGAGAATATAAAATACAAAATATTTTTAAAATATCAAAATAAAAATGTCATAAATACAGTAGCTTTAAGAAAACTGTGTTCATTGTTTTCAATGTTAAGTAGAGTACTGACAGTAGCAACCATGAGAGTTATAGCTATAGAACCTGAATGTGAATGTTTTAAACCTTGAAAGCGTGAAAATAGAAGCAGGCCCCACTCTGTACAGTATGACCAAGCCAAACCAAACTCACTGCCATTGAGTTGATTCTGACTCATAAGCAACTCTGCAGGACAGAGTAGAGCTCTTCCTGTGGGCTTCTAAGGAGTGACTGGTCATTTCGAGCTGCTTTCCCTGCAGTGTAGCAGCCCCCGGGGCTCCTGTGTGGTAGGGAAGGGCGGTAAAAATGATCATGCAGGCTGAAACTATCCAAAGTAAGATTGGTAATCAATGGGGAAGTGACAGTTGCCCTGCAGCCTTTAAAGATATTTGTCCAGACATTAAAGATAATCTTGCTATTAGCTATAGATATAGGAGGAAGTAAAAGAAATAATAAAACTAAAAATTTTAGAATGTTCAAAGTATTGGAAACAATAAAATTTATTTTCTTTCTTTGGTAGGAAAATTTAACAAGAAAAACTTGACTAGTTTGTACAGTTGTTATTTATTATAAAATATGCAGCAAGTAAATTTTCTATGCCATAGTGAATTGTTTAACTCCTTTCTAAATTTGATTCATCTTTCAGGATTTTATTCTCTGTACTGTGAGATGTCATTAAATATCTCAGAAAATTCCTTTGATGGGAAGTATTTTTTTTTTTACATCATGTTTTGTGTGAAATCTTCATCCTTTCCTTCTCTCCCACTCATTTATGTCAGTAATTTCACCTTTATTAAATTCTGTTGGCTGCATATTTAATGGTAGCAGTGTGAATGTTTGCGCTGTCATCTATTCTAAAACTTCATTTGCATTCAATTCGAATTTTCCTTCTGGCGTTGCCATTTTTTAATTTCCTGCTGCATGTTTTCTTTTATTGCCTACTTCCCTCTTTCAATTATCCATACATTAAGTGTAAATCATGTAAATTTACCTTTGGGTGCCAGGAGGCAGCACAAGGGCACTCTGCTGCCTGTGTGTGAACGGCATCACCGCTGCACAGGGAGCAGTCACCGATACTTGGAAAGAAGTCACTGATCAAGATAAACATTTGTTATTTACATCGTAATTGTACCATATACAATTTGTTGTTAGTGGCTGCTAAGTGGACGGCAATTCATAATGACATTACATGTAACAGAGTGCAACGATGCCTTCTTTTGCCATGCTCATGACGGATGGGATGTGGGCTGATTTTTCTGGTGACTATGTCAGTTCAGCTTATTGAGGGCCTCCCTCATTTTTCAGCAAAAGGACCACTTACTTTACCAGATACGATGCTCGTTTCTATCAGTTGTTCTTTCCTGATGGATGTACCTGTCCAAAGTAAGCGAGGTGAAGTCTCAACATGTTCACTTCTTTGGAGCGTTTTGGTGGTTCTTCTAAGACTACCGCCACCGAGTTCAGTTGGACACAGAGTAGCCCTGTGGGACAGAGTAGAACTGGCCCTTCCCAGTCTTGAGACTGTCAGTGTTTATGGGCAGAGAGAGCCTCCTCTTTCTCTTGCTTACTGGCTTGTGGTTTCCAGCGAGTGAACTTTTGGTAAGCAGGAGGGTCTGTATGTAAACTCCTGTGCCACCAGGGCTCCTCCGCTCGGTGGATATCCCGCCCTAGCTGACTTTTGAGCCCTGTTGGTATGGGACTGGTAGTATTAACTAAATTGTAGTCTGAAGCTCATGCAGAGTGAGACCACGCAAAGTGAAACTACTGTAATAACTGAAAAAATTCTAAATTGAGTGGGAAAAATATGAATGTATTACTCCTTTTATTCACGGCAGGGAGGCAATAGCATTGCTTAATGTTGAAACGGCTAATTAACACAATGGTCCTAATCTCGAAATGTTTCTCACAGTCATGATTTATTAATATTAGAGGAATTTTTAAGGACTCTTCCCCTGGTGAAGAAAATGCCCATTTCAGCAGTTCTTGTTTTTCTTGTTTCTTTCCTTTTTGCTAAGACCAGTAGATGTTCCAGCCAGTTTCCCTGAAGTAAGCACACACGTAAGGGGTCTGGGTCCTGGCAGAGGGCCCTATACTCAGGGCCAGTAGCCTCAACTCTCATACCTTGAGATCTTAACACAACTAAATCCTCTCTTATTTCTAAGATTCACGTGCTGCGCAGCTCCAGCTCTTAAACTGCACCGCTCCCTTTTGGTACTGGAAAAATAAACTTTTTTTTTTTTTTTTTGCTTTCAGTTTCAATTATATATTAAAAGCAATTTCAAAAAAATTATCCAGCCTTTCAGTGTGTCTCTAATGGGTGGGAGGGGTGGTGACTGGATTTGCTTCATCACCTTTACTGTTTAGACTGTAAATGCCCTGTCATTATTCTTTAAAGATGTTCTACTCACAGCAGTAACCTAAACTGTATACAACCAGTCCGTTGGATTCTAACTCACCACAGCCCCCAAATACCAGGATAGAACTGTGTTCCATAGGGTTTTCAGTGTAGGCATGAACACGCTTGTAAATGAAGTGTAAACCTAAGATATGTATGTGTGTTTGGAAGTGCATGGGAAAATCTGGAGTGGTGTTTCAGCCTTCACAGTAGTCACTACTAGGGAAGCAGAAGGGAGGGAGGAGAAGCATAGTATCAGTTAATTTTTTTTTCATTTGACATTTTCTCCAAGCATGTATTATACTTGTAATTAAACGTTTGATACAAGTGAGGACCTGATGCCGGGGGCTTAAGTGGAGAGCAGATGTTTTGAGAATGATGAAGGCAATGAATGTACAAATGTGCTTGACACAATTGATGTATGTATGGATTGTGATAAGAGTTGTATGAGCCCCTAATAAAATGATTTTTTAAAGTTTTAGAAAAGAATCACAAACTGTAAGAATAGTAAAAATTGACTAGCCTCTATTTGTTTTTAACATTGAAAAGGTGGCAATCTCTAGAGGACTGTGCTTTGTCGTGTTTTTCTTAGTGACTCAGTAAGGTTTTCTTTTTAGGAACATGCTTACCCAGCTGATGAACTCATGCCCTTAACCTGCAGAGGTCGAGTTCGAGGCCAGGAGCCAAGTCGCGGTGATGTTGATGATGCCTTGGGAAAGTGAGTATTTACAAAGGGGTGATGTATCACAAATACCAAAGTATCATATTTCTAATAGGCAGTTTATAATCAAATTTCTGGAAATTAGCTAAATTATAAAGATTATTTTAACAATTATATTAAGCTTTTTCATTTCCTTGTTATTTGTGTATTAAAGTTAATTTACCTCTTAGAGATGTGAACATTCTGTTATTGTTTATTAAAATGTATTTGCCTCTTAGGGATATGAAAATTGCAGCCAGTTTTTAAGCTGGGTCTAACCGCTTAGAATATATATAAATCAATAAGTTACTGTGTTGATACTTAGTTTTTCACTTGTTGAAAAAGTGCTAATAAATGTATCTATCCACCTTGAAACGCATGTAGATAGACTACATAAATGTAACCTTGAGCCTTTTGCCTTTTTATGTTCTTGGGGGGAGGGCCTCAAAAAGTTCCTGGAAAATGGAATTGAAAGGTAATGGAAGCCCTCTCAAATTTATAGCCTCAGAAACCCTAGATAAGGTTGCTGTGAATTGGAATCAACTCAATGACAGTGGTGTGGATCATATAGGATATAACTAAGTCTTATACATTCATGGACAAATGCTTAGAATTTCTAATGGTTTATATCTTGCTGTATTTGTTTCTCAGATTTTCTCTGACACTGATTGATTCTTTGGACACTCTCGTGGTATGTTTAATTCTTTATGTGTTTCTTTTAGAGATTTCATAATACGCCTACTAAGTATTTTGAATATAATCATAACACAGTAATTATGAAATGGGAACTTCAAGTATTTTAAGATGTTCTGATCTTTGCTCTAAAGAAATATTGAGTTGAAAATGTCCAGTGGAAGTCTGTAGAATTACTGAGAAGAATGAAGCTACTCCTATCATTGCTGTAGTTTTCAGTTTATGTGATAGCACATTGATCAGAGAAGTAGAAAGTTAGATTTATTTCATTTGGACTAAGAAGTTGAAGCTATTGGAAGAAAGAAATTTTACAAAGTACCATTGATATTATTATTCCAGGGTGACATGCCATAATGATACTGAAATTAACATTTTTATGCTATATCCACAAACAAAAATTTATTTTCCCCAGCAGTAGCATTAGGAACAAAATAGATCATTCTTGGCACTCTTTTTCAACCTGGTTGGCTAAAAATTAAAACTAATTCTGGTTTGGGGTAGTTGTTATAGCAGAGAGAAAAAGATGAATTTTGGAAGTCGTGATTTTACATAGAGTATCTTCGTTGTGTATGTTAAATGCACAGATAATTTGTGGGATAAAAAGTGGGCTTCTTTCAGCATTTTCTTTAATGTATACTTCTCAACTTTAAGATAATGCCTACATACTGATTAATTTTAAAAGCAAAAAAGAAATTTGGAGATAGAAATTATTTGGAACCAGGCTATTCTACCCAATATTAATTCTATATTCTTCTTTTACTGGGATGTTTTTGTTAGACCAGAGATTCTCAGTTCTACCAGTACCTTTGGACCACCCGGGGAACTGAAAGAACCAAACCAATCCAACCAATAACAGCAACAACAAAAAGACACTTCTTCCCAACATTTCATTGTTCTGGAATAGGCTGAGCCTTACTATCTGTATTGTAAGGCACAGGTGTTCAAACTGATTTGGCCCACCTGCCCCTCTTTTCAGAAAGAAAATTACTCAGTGCCCCCCAGGCAACTAAAAACGTTTGTACTATAGTCCATCATCCAGGATAAAATGTAGGTATCTTCTTTTGCAGCTCCCCTGAATTGTTCCAGTGCCCCATGTCCCCCATCTTTAGGGGGTGGTATCACCCACTTTGGGAACCACTACTCTATCGCTTCTTTTGTGACTCTAAAATGCAGCCATGACTAATACCGCAGTGTTTTAGACCTCTTTTAGCTGGGCCATTTTCTGTAACTTAGTGGTTGTGTACACTGTGTTTTAATAACACATGAGAATATTTAAGTCTTGTTTGGGATAAGTGGTCCTAGTTATTTGATGTATATAGTAGAAGAAGAGAAAAACACATGGAAAATATCCCGGGGCTGGGGTGCAGAGCACAAATTACCGACTTGGAAGTTTCTATGTACTCTGTAGCTGTATGCATCCCAAATGAATTTGATGGGGTGAGAGGGAGAAGAAGGGTCCTGTTTGAGGAAAGGATATAGGTAGGCTTAAGTTTGTTTCTCATTTCATCTTCTTAGTTTCATCAGCTCTCCGGCAGGTTCTCCATCATCTCTCTCTAAACTCTTAGCGGACTATTGACCTGCGATTGTTTTCGTATTTTTGTTTTTAATCAGAAATGAAAGGGAAAAGTCATGTCCAAAGCTGTATAACATGGAAAAATCTGTCAGCCTGTCTAATGAAGCAGACATTAATTATTTTAAAGATGACTTCCTTTAGGTTTATATCAGTTATACACTTGGCGATAGGCCTTAAGATAGAGTCTATGGACCAGCATCTTCTTCATTGGGGAGCTTGTTTGACATGCAAATACTGGAGCCTGACCAGAATTGGAAACTTGGGAAGAGGCCCCACAGTCTATTTTTACAAACTCCAGGGGATTCTGATTCAGGCCAAAGTCTGCAGTGCTTTTTAAGCCTCAATACACTACTAGTTGGTTAAAGAGCTTGATAAAATGCAGCTTCTGACTCAGAAGGCCCAACATGGGAGCCCAAGAGTCTACATTTGTTAATAGTTTTCTACTGCTACTGCTGCTGCTATTGCTGCTTGTCAGCAGATAGCACTTGAGTAACGAGACAAAGTGTGCCCTGAATTCTGGCTCCTTCTGGCAGGGAATAAGGAGTGCTGGTGGTGTAGTGTGTTCCCCATGGAAACTCATCTGCTGCTCCCTGGGAGAATGAGGAGGAGGCTCTCTGTGCCCATAAGGAGTTACCGTCTCAGACAGCCACGCGGTGCAGTTCTGCCCGGTTCTACAGTGTTTCTCTGAGTCAGAATGGATTCTGTGGCATACTTGTTGGCAAGTATGGCAAGAAATAACAACAATAATAATAATAAGTAAAAAGTTGGTAAATTGAAATAACAAATAATAATCACATAATATTGATAGGTGTGACCTTGGGCAAATTATTTAACTTCTCTGGAACCCTGCTTTGTCTTTGTCCCACAGAGTGGCTCCTGGTTTAGCACGCTGACTGTGGTTAGCAGCCCAATGAATATAACCAAAGTTGGTTTCACAATACATTTTCATTGTGACTCATAAAGCTTACTTTAACGAGGATTTTTAATCAGACACTCTTATAGAATGGAATTAGAACTTGTATTAAAGGCGTTATAACAAGTGAAGTACTGTAAAATTATCAAATAAAATGTTTTGGAAATGACGATGACAACGTATGTACAAATATGCTTGATACAATTGATGCATGGAATCTTATAAGAGCTGTAAGAGCCCCCAATCAAATGATATTTTAAAAATTATCAAATAAAAGTCAAAGGAAACTACTTTGAAGAGATATGGAATCTAAGTAGGCTCTAACTGTGCGGCCTTAATTCAGGCTTAATAACCCAAGTAACCTGTGTGATGACCCCTTATGTAGTGACTGCTTCAAGGAGATCAGTACACAGCTCTCTACAAAATTCCTCGCTTACTTGGTGTTTTAGTCCCAAATATAATAATAGTTGTAGCAGTAATGATATTAAGTGCTTAAATCAGATACTGTGTTAAAAGTATCTTCATACCCATTATCATATTTAAGAAAATCAGCCTTATGCGGGTAGACATGTTCCCTTTGTAGATAAAGAAATAGACTTAGAATTGAAGTTAACTTGGCTAGGATGACATAGAGACCCAGAACTCGGACTAAGGCTTGCTCTTAACCAAAAGTTACACTGCCTCCTGAGTAAGGGCGGAGCAACTGGAGATAAAGGAGTGTGTGGTTTAGGATCAATCCCTTTCCCTTTGAAGGATGAGCTGTCGAAACTAGTAAATGTTTTGAAGTCCTTATGACATTCCAGCTTGGCTAAGAAAGATGAATGTAAATATTCCTTATATTTGAATATTTAATTAGAATAAATTCTTAAATAGTACCATCATATTTTATAATGTACTAAATGGTAATATTTTATGTATCACTTTTCAGATCCTTTTTACCATAATAACTTTTAGCTACTCATTAGACTTAGACATGAGAAATGAACTGTAGTAATTTTCTTCTCCTAGGTACTAAATAAAACTAAAGAATTTGAAGATGCTGTGAGAAAAGTTTTAAGAGATGTTAATTTAGATAATGATGTAGTTGTATCCGTCTTTGAAACAAACATCAGAGTTCTTGGGTAAGTATGTAAAGTACTAAAGCTGTAATTTTAATAATGGAAAAGCTTAGAGTATGCTGTTTATTGATGGCAAAAGAGCAAGATTTTTCTTGGGTTTTATAAGATAAATGTGTGGAAATGATCAAATATAGACAACAGCAGGCTTTGGAGATGTAGATTCAAATCAAAGGTGATATGTGGGGCATGTTTCATGGTAACTACGTGAAAGAAAACTACTTCACAGCATGGTACAACCATTAGTGTGTCTCCAGAGACGCTGAATGCAACTGAGCTAAGATTATCTCTCAACTAAACCATTTGAAGTACTTTGGGGATCTTTAAAAGATGAAATTACAGATTTTATTCATTCAAGTTTCAAAATTGTGAATTTCTATATTTGATTATTACTTTTGTGTTGCTATAAACTGTATTGTCAGACATAAAGTGACCTTAGTCTTCAATTACATTTTAAAAGTTGCTCTACACAATTTGTTAGTTTCATTGCATTTAACACAGAGCAGGATTTTTGGTTATTGCTATTTGTGCCCTGGGGGTAAAGTAGGTTAAGTGTTGGTCTGTGATCTGCATGGTCAGCAGTTCGAAACCATAAGCAGCTCCAAGAGAGAAAGATCGGGCTTTCTACTCACATAAGTGGTTACAGTCTTGGAAACCCACAGGGGGTCGTTATGAGTCGGCATTGACTCGAAGGCAATGAGTAATGCACATGTTGCATTAAACTAAAATTTATTAAAATAAATTTTACTTTTAGACTCTTTAAGGAAATATGTGATCGTTAAGAATTTAAGATGCCAAATATCTAGTTTATTTGTTTTGTTTTTGTTTTTAAATGTTGGCCATGATTTGCCACTTCCATGAATAATTTCTTTTAGCAAGATCGGCACAAGGCTGGCCCCTATGAGGTGGAGGAAAATAAGATGTCCCAAATGTCTAGTGACTCATCCTCCCTCCGTGTTTTTAACTCTGATCTTAGGGTTCCGTACACTGCAGTGTCTTGCAGAACTCAATACACCTTCAAGGAAATGGCTTACAAGGTTGTGGAGGCTGGAAAGTCCCAACTTTGTTGGTGAGGTGCCAGCCAGGAGGTGTTCCCTGACTTATGTAGTGGCCGGGGCTAACTAACCCAGATTATTAGCTGCTGGTTTACAAGGCTGCTGACGTTGGCGGATCAAGTCAGACAGTAGACTGCTGGTTCAATTCCCAAAACCTAGAGGTCAGATGAAGATGAGCCAGATGCAAGATCTAGAGAGCAAAAGAGTGAACGTTGCCAGAGCATCACTATACACTGGATGCTGACCATGTCACCAAGGAAACTAAAGGTGGTGACTTGAGTCACACCCTCTATTAAGGTAGGAACCAAAGGAGCGTTCTACCCCAGTCCTGCCTCATTAACTTAATGGACAACTCGTACCAAAATGGGATAATAACCAGCATAGAGACTTGGATTTAAAATATATCACAACATGCAGCACTGTGGCTAGAAGGGCCATATTAAGTAATTTACTGCAAGCCACCTCCTGGCTGTTCTAACCATAAGCCCTTTCATTGGTGGTGGATTAACTTCCTCTGCTTAATCATTTGGCCACACCCGTTTCCCATGAATAACTTTACTCAGTTCTGCCTTACAAATCGGATTCGACCAGAACATGCACACTGCTACACATAAGAGCCCAAAACACAGAGAATCCAGGATAGACAAACCCCTCAATGCCAACAATGAGAGGGAGGGGGGGAGAGAAGGGGAAGAAATGGGGATCTGATATCAGGCTCAAGTGGGAAGAGAATGCTTTAATGATGATGGTGGCATATGTGCAAATGTGCTTGACACACTGATGAATGTATGGATTGTGATAAAGAGCTGTAAGAGCCCCCAATAAAAGGAAGAAAAAAAATAAAGAATAACTTTTACCTTGGGTAACTGATTGCAGTAACAGCTACTTGAGTTGTGCTGGCTCAATGATTTAGACATTGGTCTGCTAACTGAAATGCTGGTGATTCAAGCCCATCAGACGATCCATAAGAGAAAGATGAGCCACTCTGCTTCCATGGGGATTGACAGTTTGGGAAGCCCTATGAGACAGTTCTACTCTGTTGTTACTTTACAATGAGCAGTGGATTTCCTTTTTGGTGAATGCATGAGTGTTTTTGTTTTAGATCATTTTTTCATCCCCCTCAGAAACCATATGTTTTTCACTCTCTCATATATTCCCCTTTTCCCCCGCAAACCACATGCTCCAGTGAGTCTAGGTCATTGCAGTGAACCCTACTATTCTGACACCAATTGCATGAATAATGTCTTTAATAAGGTTCCGAATAAGTGTGTCCTTTAAAAATGACCATCTGTGCAACTTTTCCAAAATGCTGTACTACTCCTTTGTCATTACCTCAATTGCGTCTCCCTCCAGTACTCTGACTACTGCTTTACAAATCAAAAGCAATAACCCACTGTCATTGCACTGATTCCAAGTTCTCTTTCTGTCACAGAGTGGCTGGTGGATTTGAACACCGATCCAACTGTTAGCAGCCCAATGCTTAACTCACTTATGTGACCAGTGCCATTCCTTCCTGTCTTACCCAACCAAACTATGCCATTGAGTCGGTTCTAACTCACAGTGACCCTGTCTCACTACCATCTAATCAATTCTGACCTATAATGACCCTGTAAGACAGTAGAATTGTTTCCTGGGGTTGCTCAGACTGACACTCTACTGGAACAGATAGCATCATCTTTCTCCCTCATTGCAGTTTGTAGATTTGAACCTCCAACCTTGTGCTTAGCAGCCCAGTGCCTAGCCCACAGCACCACCAGAGTACCTTTCTTTATGTTTTAGGGTTCAGTAATTCGCTGCAGTGTCTCCCAGGAGTTGATGAATCAGGTCAGACAATGGGCTGCTAACTCAAGTCCCCAAACCAGAGGTCAGATGAAGATGAACCATATGCACGATGCAAGTGCAAGAGAGAAAACTGGCAGAGGGGAGTTTGTCCAAGATTCCGATACAGTGGAATACTGGATGTGGACTGCATATCCAAAGTGTCCTGCCCTCTCTCCTTCTCAACACCTTCCCAAATGGGAGCATAACCACAGGCATAAAGGATTCAGGTCACGAAATAGAATAACCATATTAACTAGTTTCTGCACCACACCATCCTACCAGATTTTGCCACTGAAGGAAGAAACAGATGCCAGAGTAGAACTTGCACAAAGCTTTATTTGTATATAAGATATGGTTGAAGCAGTGAGACTGGACATGCTAACTCTCTGAAGGAGATGGTGGACAGAATAGCCTGGTACTGGTACAAGGAGAGATACTGTGTATATGTGTGTAAAGCCGAGGTTTTCAGCATACTTTTTATGCAGTTTTTGTGGTAAAATTCGTTAGATAACGAATACATATAATAGAACATATTTTAAAGAATATATATATGTATATATTTTTGTATTCTTACATGTGCCTATTGAGAATAAAATCTGTCTCTTTGATGGTGACAAGTATTTTTAAAGTGTGAATATTGTTTCATATCTACAATTGTAGGGGTCTTTTGGGTGGACACTCTTTGGCAATCATGCTGAAAGAAAAAGGCGAGTACATGCAGTGGTACAATGATGAACTTCTCCAAATGGCAAAGCAATTGGGTTACAAACTTCTACCAGCTTTCAATACTACCAGTGGCCTTCCTTATCCAAGAGTAAGTAATTGCAAAAAATATGCCCGTCCTTCGACACTTCCTTTGTTGTCTTAAAAAGTGTACTTTTATGGTCAGAGCCTTTGGTTTTCAACTATTTAACACATGTGTGTGTCAATGTGTAAAAATTCAAATGGACATTTCCACTGACTTGCATAGAAATGCATTGATGTGAGAATTTAGCTTAAGCTTTTTCTATATCACTGTATAACAGATTAGATTTTGCCACTGAAGGAAGAAACAGATGCCAGAGTAGAACTTGCACAAAGCTTTATTTGTATATAAGATATGGTTGAAGCAGTGAGACTGGACATGCTAACTCTCTGAAGGAGATGGTGGACAGAATAGCCTGGTACCGGTACAAGGAGAGATACTGTGTATACGTGTGTAAAGCCGAGGTTTTCAGCATATTTTTTATGCAGTTTTTGTGGTAAAATTAGGTGTCTTGGTTTATATTCGGGTTGGCTTATGCTCAAGTATATACGATATATAGACCAATAGATCAGAACAGAAAACCAGGACCTAAACGCATTAGGTTACAGACAACTAATCTTCGACAAAGGACCAATAACTATAATGGGACAAAGACAGCCTCTTCAACAAATCCAGTTGGACAAACTGGATTTCCATATGCAGAAGAATGAAACAAGACCCATATCTCTCTGTATGCACAAAAATGAACTCAAAATGGATTAAAGACCTAAATGTAAACCCCAGAGCTATCAGGTCATCAATGAGGAAACTGGAACAAACTTAAAGAGCCCGTTGCAGGGCAGACGTAGACTGCCAAGTATAATGAAGGAGGCACACACAGTGGATGGCAAAATAGATGACAGGGACATGCTGACAGTACAGCACTCATGCACATCAAAAGACTTAGGAGAGTAAAGCGGAGCCCACAGATTGGGGAAAATTTTTTACCGACGACATATTGGACCAGGGTTTAATTACTAAAATCTACAGAACTCTACAACAGCTCAAAAAGAAGATAGCAAAGGACCCAAGTATGAAGTAGGAAAAAGACATGAACACAGTTCACCCAAAAGGAATTGTCTAGAAAACAAACAAACAAACAAAATGAATTGGCTAACCAACAAATGGTCAACAAACCCAGGGGGAACATGTTCACAGTCACTAGCCTTTTGGGAGATGCAAATTGAAACCACAGTGAAATACCAATTTACACCACAATGCTAGCTCAATTAAAAAAATAAGACAGAAAAATGCTGAAGAGATGGTGCATAGAATGGAACTATATACACTGTTGGTAGACTTATAAATACATACAACCACTATGGAAAACGATATGGCAATATTTAAATCAACTGGGAATTGAAATCGCATATAAGCCAGCAGTGCCAGTACTAGGCATATACCTCTAAGAAATCAGAACAAAACACTCGTAGATGTGTGCTGTTCCATGCTGAGAGCAGCCCAGTTCACGATAGCAAGAAACTGGGAGCACCTGAAATGGAGCAGTAGAAGAGTGGATATAGAAACGATGGTACACACACACAGTGGAATACTACGCATCCCTGAAAACAGTGATGGAAACAGGAAGCACCACATGACATGGGAGGACCTAGAAGCCATTATGCTGAGTGAAGTTAGTCAATGACTAAAGGAGAAATATGAGTCCACTACTATAAGGAACACATGCCAATTAAACAAATCTTAGAGGCCAGTTCCCAAACAAAGGGGTAGAAAATCGGCCTATCTGCCATGAGCTATACATCATGGTGGTATCATGGTTTTTGGTCAGTTTACCTCCTTCTTGACCCAACTGAATTTTCTCTAGGCTCAAATATTTCTCACTTTTTCCACTAAAGAAATTTCTTCTCTGGCTTTAAAAAATATTGCTGGTGATCTTTTCTTTCTTAACTTTTTCAAACAAATGTTTATATATTATTATTTTCGTCTTTCTGTGTAGTTTTTTATTGTTTCTGTTAGGTTTCCCAGTTTATGACGGACAGAAGGAGTGGATGCATAGAGACAATAACTGATGCAGTAGTTTATCATGGAGAGTGTGCGTGTGTATGTGTGTGTGTGTGTGTGTGTGCGCGCAAATAATGCGGGAGGTGGGAAGGAGCATTAGAACTGATTGTAATGATGTATCTTCAACTCTTTTTAAAAGTGACAACTATGGAAGTGTATAATATGGGAATTTTATATCAGTAAACCTATTACAAATTTAAAATATATAAAAACTTATTTAAATGTACATGTTTGTAATTTTGTTGGAAAAGGAAATGCTGAATTTTGAAGAATTTCTTAGGCAGTCAAAGAATTGAAACAAGATACTAGGAGTACTACAGTGAAACAGAAAGTTACTACATGTTGTTAGTAGTCTGTGAAGTGACAAGAAGATATTGAAAGCTTCTCTTCAGAAGAGGACTATATAAAAACCACACACGCTGCACTTGTGTTGATTCTGACTCATAGCGACCCTATAGGGCAGGTAGAACTGCCCCTGTGGGTTTACGAGATAGTGTAGGAAGACAATGACACCATGCCTTATACAAAATTAGTAAACACTACTTTGCCAATGGAACTTTGTGCAGTAAGTATCATATGCAAATAATTTTGATGATGTTTGCCATAATGGTTATAACAGAAATGTTGTAATATGTTAATAATTCTTTAAACTCACATGTTACCTTAGCACCAGTTCACCTTTTCTAATGGCATTCCCTCAAAGTTAATTCAAAACCATTCTCTATCTTTTCAGGTGAGGCCTTATTGCTAAGGGGTTGAGTAAGTTATCATATACTAAAAATACAGAGTTGGTGGGAATTCAGTTTTGATTTATATACATCATAAAGATTTATCAGTGTAGCGAGTATACTCTATGGGTAAATTTAAGCTTTTACCTTTGAATAAAAAAAGTATTTTTAATTACTGTGTTAAAAGTACTTTTTTTTTAATGTTGGAAGAAGCTTTTATTTATTTATTGTTTTTATTTTAATAAATCATTTTATTGGGGGCTCTTACAGCTCTTTGAACAATCCGTACATCCATTGTGTCAAGCACATTTGTACATATGTTGCATCATCATTTCCAAAACATTTCTTAATACCAGCTCCTCTTTTTTCCCTTCCCTCCCCAATACTTTTTTGTTTATCCTCTCTGACTCTAGACAAGGGATGTGCATGCAGAGTGCATTGGGAAGTGGATTATTGCAGATGCAGTTAGGATAAAATTTAACATCATATGATCTGCCCTTTGACCCATTTTAAATTTGTTTTAGTTTTTACTATTTTCTACTTTCTTTTCAGTTGAGGTTTTTCTGTGTTTTACTTTGTTGTTGTAGTTAGTTTTGTTTTGATTTTTGTATGTTCTGTATATGAAATCCAGGTTAGGTATAGCTATAGTGACAGTAACTAGATGAATGTTTTGAGGGGGTTATGGTAAAGGAGGTGGGCGGAATGGGGAGCTAATAACAAGTAGAGGAAAGAATATGTTCTAAAACTGATTGTGATGAAGATTGTACAACTCTCCTTAGTATGATCGAACTACTGAATTGTGTGATATGTGGATTATGTGCCAATAAAACTGTTTAAAAAGGTAAAATAAAATGGTAAATATAAAGAAAAAAGAGTTTTTTAAAAAAAATTGCTCGGTAGTTCTAGGGAACACAGATCAGGAGGAGCCAGGTTCCAGTTTCTTTCAAAGGATAAAACCTTTATTGTTTTTAATCTCTGTTTTAAGCCTTTGAAGTAAACAAGGTGTGTTAGTCTCGGTAGACTAGAAAAACAAATTCATGGACACTCATATGTTTATGTACAAGAGCAATTGAATATTGAGAAAACATCCCAGCCCATAGGTCCAATACCAGTTTATAAAGTCCTCTCCAGACTCATGAAACACATGCAATGATGCCGAATGCAGGAAGATCACAGGCCAGTGGGTGCAAAGTCTTGTGGATCCAGTGGCAGTAGAAGCATCTTCAGTTGCTGGCACCATGTGACTCCTCCAGCTCCCAGGGCACAGGCTCTATCAGCGTAGCGCCATGTGTCTTGTGAGTAGAGTGTCTCTCAGGGAGTGAGTAGAAAGAGAGTGTCTCCCGCCTCCAAGGAGGAAATACAAGAGTTCCCAGAATCCTCAGGAGGCTATGCCCACACAGAGACCTCATTGTCTCTATCCTGTTTGACAGGCTAGACTCCACCCCTACACTCTTAATCCTCAAATTGACACCAAATTATGTAGCTACCACACAAGGCAATAAGCTCATTGTTTCTAATTTCTGCACAATAAATAGATGTTACTGCCATTGGCCTGCACACGTCCAATCATATGAGGCCTAGTTAGGGGGACAAGAACTATCTACCACCCTCCAGAGCATAAGTCAGTAAGAAGATGCCCATCAGCAAAACAGGACCTTTTTCATTGCCTTGTGGGAATGGCAGTGCCCCCTTTGCATTTGGAAGTATGTATTATCACCGATCTTTCATGTAGGGTCCCTGGGTGGTACAAATGGTGAGTGCTCAGCTACTAACCAAAAGGTTAGTGAATTGAATCCACCCAGTGGTGCCATGGTAGAAAGTGTCTGCGTTAAGATTATAGGCAAGCAAATCTGTGGAAATGTTCTACTGTGGAGCACAGGAGATTGCTATAAATCATGATCTACAACTGTTTATTTTGCTTGCTTGCTTGTTTTTCTTTGTGTTGTTATTTTATTTATTTATTTTTATGTTGAGTAGACAAGATTGAAGGGATCGAAGTGGGCAGTTCTGTTACAAACAGGGCTTCAGACCAGGTTCATCCAGATTCAACTCCCTCAGAGAATTTGCATTTCCATCCCAGATTCTACTGGACGAGGACCTACATTTTAACCAGATCCCAGGGAATGAACCAGTGAGAAGCCCTGTTTAAGAAGTACTGCTTTATGCAATTTTCTAGCAGTCCCTTTAAATAGTAAAGGCTGTAATTCAGTGTACATAGTTCTTAAAGATTGTTCATTTATTTACTTTTTAATGTGGTTTGGTTAAAAGCAAATCAATTTTCCATTCAATAATCTCTGTATATTTTCTTTCATAAAATTGGTTGTAGGTCTTAAATATTTTTAATGTATTTAAAATTTGAAGATTCAGAAAAAGTGTTTGCTTCTCACAGAAAAGTGACTAAGAAAATTTATTCTTCCGATTGCTTTTACTTCCTGTGGCTTACCCCTTGATATTCTGAGCTGTGAACTATCACAATCTAGTGATATGCTTTTTGAGGTTTAGATATTAGCATTCACCGCCTACTACTATTACTAGTTTTATTCTGTTAACACATCTGTCTTATTTTCTCCATGTGAATTTTAAGCTCCTTAGGATAAGAATGTACTCTTTCTTCATTTTCTATTTCTTTGTTGTTTGCCCACCTCATAGTAGATACTTAATATTGATCATTTTGATTTCAGTTGTTGCTAGAACAACCCCAAACATGTTTTCACTGTTGGCTATTGTTGTAAATAATTATAAAGATTATTATACTTTAACTTGATGTAATTAGTATAATTAAATCGTTATTTCATTGTTGAGAATTGCTTAATTTTAAGCTCTTTGTTCTTAGTATTAGTTTTGATTTTTTGCTCTGTAAGTAAGGATATATAGGCAGCTTCAGGGACCAGGATCGTTTTCAATACTGTTCATTATATACAGAACTACCTAAAAGAAATTACTTTTTCAGAAGTGCAGCCAGCAGTGACAGTTATAGATATGGGTAGGAGTGGAAGGGTGTGGCCAGGTTACTCGCATATGCTTGTTATTAGGTGCTCGGAATTATTTTCATGATTTGATAAAACATCGTGATTAAAGAACCCTTTTTTTAAAAAAAATGCAAGTGATAATCTTCTATATTTGTTCAGATTAATTTAAAGTTTGGGATCCGAAAACCAGAAGCTCGAACAGGAACTGAGACAGATACCTGTACAGCTTGTGCAGGTACCTTGATCCTTGAGTTTGCTGCTTTAAGTCGATTCACAGGAGCAACAATATTTGAGGTTTGCTTTTCATGGTCTTTGATCTCCTGGGTATTGGGTGTAGTTAATGTTTGTCTTTTTGTCATTAGTCAAATGTTAGGATTATCAATTTGAGAAATTCTTAGTTATTTTTAGTGAACCTTTTGTCTAAATCTCATCAGGTAGTTTTTAATTGTTAAAAACATAAAAGCCATTATGAGGTTATATATTAGATATAACCTCATATTTTATTCTCAAACCACCAAGCACATCTTTAGGTTTATTCTTGGAAGTTGTTGTTTTTTTAGCCTAATTATATGAACTTGATGGCTCCTTGAGATCAACAATATCTAATTAAATATTGTGCATTTCTGTGTTGTATTTGCTGGACTTCTAGATGGTCTTTTCCATTACTAAAAAATTATATCAATTTTCTAAAATACAGTAAATTTTTGGTACTAAACCTTCACTGGGAGTCTAATTTGTAAGTTGGTCTACCCTAAGAAAACTGTTATTAATTATTCAGAAGACTTACTATTTTCCATTTGGTTGTAGACTAGTTATGTCTCAGATTTTTAACATGCTTTAGCATGAGAATGGGTTAGAGAAATTTTTAAAATTCAAGTGTCGTACATGGGCAAGCAGAAATAGGGAAAATATAATTACATTACCTATATTAGAGCACAGTATAAATAAACCAAGTCAAATGATCCATATATGCGTGCTCACAAGCACATTTGTGTAGATGTCTGCAAGTTCAGTGTCTTAAGGACAGGTGTGCCAGGCTTAATTGGTTAATCCTTTAAACTTAAATTTAATTTTATAATTTATTGACGGATATTTTCCTTTCATGAAAACAGTTAGAATTTTTGTCCACACTTTAGTTTGAAGTACATATGTTGTGAGAATTAATACATCTATAGATGAGGAAAGGGATGCTGTAAGAGACCTGTACAGCTAATGAGTGAATAGGTGGAATTGAAATCTATGTATATCTGATTTTAATGCCTATCCTCTCCTAATGGACTGTGGTATGTGAGATCTTTTCATTAGTTTCCTCATGCTAATGAGTCAGTCTTTAAAAATTATGATTTTTACTTGTTGAATAACAGCACAGTAATTTATTGTTCGAGAAGCAATGTGATTCTATTGACATAGCATCAATCTAACACAATCTTGGCCGGCTACAGTCTTTGGACCAAATCTGACCACTGACTCATAGCAACCTAAAGGACAGGGTAGAACTGTTCTTTTTCCAAGACTCAAAATCTCTATGGAAGCAGACCATGTCATCTTCCTCTGCAGAGTGGCTGGTAGCTTCAAACTACTAACTGTTTGGCTAGCAGACAATCACTTTAACCATTGTGCCAGCAGAGCTCCAAAAAGTAAGAATGGAGAACTATATTAAAAAATCGTTGATACTTTCTAGCCCTGAAATTCTGCCATTTAGTTAAATAATTACAATCTGCTCTGGTTTTGTCTTTTAAAAATCAGCATAAGTACATTGAGTCAAGAATTATGACTATTTTAAACTCTTTTCTTAAATCTACAAAGTGACAAATTGAATGTTTTTTTTTCCTTTTAAAGAAGTGCTTCTGCAATGCTGTGTAAGCTCATGTGCAGAAATTAATGTCAACTTAGAAATCACTTGCTGAAGTGTATGCCTTTTATTTCCAGTCTTTAACATCTTTTTATCCAAAACCAAGCATTTGACTAAAATTAGCTTTAATTTAATTTTGAATAAATGACTAATGAAATAAATGAAAGGAGAAAAACAGAAAACAGAAAGAAAAGGAAATTTTATCATAAGGCTGTAAGTGTGGTGTTATCAAATAAATGCTCATTAAACCTAGTTGATATACTACTAACTCTTCCTTAACAAACTTGCATAAAATAGATTTTGAACTTTCTGTGTTTTAAAGACAACATGCTGAATTAGAAGTCCTGGGCTGATTTTCTGAATAGTAAAATCTAAGGTTGTTATTTTAAGAAGCACCTTTTAGGGTATACGCAACTGCTGTGATTTAATAATACATTGTGTGCACATTTGAGCCTGTGTGGATGAGGGTAGATGAGTAGGCTGGTCCTGTAGTGAGTCATTCTTTTTCAGAGTCATTCATTTTAACGAGGATTGCCTTACTGAAAGAGCCAGGATTTGCTTTGTAACAAAAAATTAACATAAATTATAAATGGTTAGTCTAGAAATTTTACTTAATCCTTGAAATATTTATTGGGCCATTGGTTTTGTTTTCTTTGTGTTTGTAATTGTTGATCATTCACAATTCTTCAAGTATACTTTTCTTTTTAATTATAGGAATATGCAAGGAAAGCTCTTGATTTTCTCTGGGAAAAAAGACAACGGAGTAGTAACTTAGTGGGTGTGACTATCAATATTCACACTGGAGACTGGGTCAGAAAAGGTATGTAAATTGTGCTTCCAAAACTAAGCCTTGGAGGAGGTAAGGGAAAGGTAGGGGGCTGCTAACAAACTGAGGAACAGGGGAACAACAAGAGATCTAAAATTAATGATGGGAGAGTGTAGAATGCGTGGTGGAGTTTGATCAAGTGCAGTGTAGCTGAGAAGAATTACTGAGAGCCGAATGAAGGTCGAACATGATAGTGGGACAGGAGGAAAGTAAAATGAAATAGAGGAAAGAAGTAGGAGGTAAAAGGTATTTATAGAGGTCTAAATACAGGCATGTATATATGTAAATATATTAATATACTACGATAGAGCTATAGGTCTATGTACACATATTAATATGTTAAGTATTAAGGTAGAAGGCAGACCTTGAGGCCTTACTCAAGTACTCCTTGAATGCAAGAACACTTTGTTCTAATAACCTGGCGTTCTGTGATGCTCACCTTCCCCACATGATCACTGAAGGCAAAATGGGTACATAAGCAGATGTGCCCGGCTATTACAAGATAATAGTATCTGGGGTCTTAAAGGCTTGAAGTTAAACAAACAACCATAAAGTAAGGAAGGAAGAAAGCCTGCATGGAAGAAGCACACCAGTCTGTGCGGTCACAGGGTGTTGACAGAATCAGGCATCAGAAGAACCCAAACAATCATATCGATGTGAACAAGGCAGGTTGGACTGTGGACTGAGGCATGTACACTGGTACAGGTAAGAGTTCTCGATGCATGGATTCCAGGACAGATAAACCCCTCAGGAACAGTAATGGGAGTGGTGAAACCATGAGGGTAAGGGTAAGGGGGAACCAATTGCAATGATCGGCATATAACTGCCCCCCCCACCCCGACAAACAACAGAAAGGTGGGTGAAGAGAGATAGTGAACAGTGTAAGATATGAAAATAATAATTTATATTTATCAAGGGTTCATGAGGTTGGGAGTATGGGAGATGGAAGGAAAAAAGAGCTGATACCAAGGGCTCATGTAGAAAAAAAGTATTTTGAAAAGGATGATGGCAACATATGTACAAATGTGCTTGATACAATTGATGTCTGGATTGTTATAAGAGGTGTAAGAGCACCCAATGAAATAATTTATTAAAAAAATGAACAAAGGCAGAAAAAACCAAAAGGAAACAAAAGAAAAATAAATAAGCCTTTACATTATCAAAACTGTTGTGAAATAATGGGTTTTCATTTGTTTAAATAAACTTTGCGATAGTATAAAATTAAGCCAGATTTGCTTCCTTAGTGCCAAATAATAACACACTTAATCTAGATGATTTAACATTCTATCCCATTCTTTAATGGGTGCACCATTAGTGGTGGCCTGCAGGATATGGATGAAACACTTTGAGAATAGTATACCAGAGTGCCTCACATCAAGATGTCTAGTTAAGTGGGAATGTGCATATAATAGTGTTATCTCTAAACCTTACATTCTGGTTCCCCTACCCCTAACTCCAGAAATACAATATAGTAGCTAAGTACATAGACTTTGGGACCATAATGCTGGAGTTCAGATCTCAGTTCTGCCGCCTATTAGCATTGTGATTTGAAGCAAGTTACTGAACCTCTGTGTACCTCTTTATCCTTATCTGTGCAGCAGAGATAATAATAGTACCTACATCTTACTGGTTATGATAGTAGCTATAATATTTCTCCTGAAATGCAGTGATGGGTAATAGTTGAATATATTTATAATTGATTACGTAAGGAGAGCTAAAAGCTACAATGAACTTCAAAAAGTTCATTGAAGAGTGAAAAAATAATAAGAGTACTGTTTTATTTTTGCTTTTGTTCATTTGTAATGGGAACACTTTGCCAGTGAAAGTGTAATGAAATTGAAGCAAGCACTTTCATAAACACCTTCAAGTATAATTAGAGGCTGCAATGGCTAAGGTCTCTAAGAAATAGCCAGGTCCTCTTGTGGACTCCGCTTCCAGCTTTCACCTTGCACCTGAGTGTGGTAGCCATTTGCTCCACCTAGGAACTCCGTAACTTAAAACTCGCTGGGTCAAGTCAGTTCCCGTCCTACAGGACAGAGTAGAACTGCCCTTTGAGCTTCTGAAGCTGTACATCTTTCTGGGAGCAGGCGGCCGTATCTCTGCCCCTCAGGGCTGCTGGTGGCTTCAAACTGCCGACTGCACTCTTGGTTGGCAGCCCAGTGCATAACTCGCTACGCCACCAAGGCTCTCTGTGCACTCCATAACACCAACAAATGCACGTCTATGAAAAAGCGGCGACTTGGCAATATATTGTGACCTTCAACTTCTCACCTCTGTAGTCCTACCCCTAACCTCTCCCCACTTGACATGCTGTCATTCTTTTTCTATGTAAATCAGTTACCTTGCTGTCTTTTTAATATGTATTCAATGTACAGAACCACTCTTAGCTTTATAAAAGGATATCATATCCTATATAACCTTTTGAGACTGGTTTTACTATTACGTTGTTGAGGTTCACATGTGCTAAGCATGAAGTTGTGGTTCCTTATTTTGGGGGATCTAAGGCTAAATAAACGGCAGTGTAGGGGTATGTAGGGCATTTCTTTGTTTCCAACTTCTGCACCACCACTGTTCTGTCAGTTTGTCCAATTGTTGTGGCTTGGATGTTGGGCACAAAAAGGAATCAACAGTAGTTGGAAAATACAGCTTTGGTGATAGAAGCAAAGCTGGAGATTGCATGATAGAATTTTTTAAGACAATTCTCTTATCACAAATACTGTATATACTTAAGTGTAAACCGACCCAACTATCAGCCGAGGCACCACATTTTACCAAAAAACTGCATTAAAAATGTCCTGAAAAACTCAGCTTATACTTGAGTATATACGAAACCTTTTTTCCCAACTTTTAAAACAACACAAAAGACGACTGTATATGTGGACTTCTCCAGATGGAATACACAGAAATCCAACTGAATACATCTGTGGAAAGAGGTGATGGAGAAGTTCAGTCTCAGCAGCTAACATCTGTGGAACAGACCATCAGGGGCTCATATATCAATTCACGTTGAAACTGAAGAAAATTAAAGCAAGTCAATGAGATCTAAAATATGACCTGTCTATGTCCCACCTGAATATTGAGAACACCTTAAGAACAGATTTGATAAATTGAACATTAATGACAGAAGATCTATTGAACTATGGGGTGACCTCAAGAACATCATAGGTGAGGAAAGCAAAAGGACATGAAAAAGACAAGGAAGAAAGAGAAGATCAAAGTGGACGTCAGAAGAGACGCTGAAACTTGCTCTTAATCATAGAGTAGCTAATGCAAATGGAAGAAATTAAGTAAAAGTGCAAAACAGGAAATTTCAAAGGGGAACCAGAGAATACCAAGTATTTTTATGAAATGTGTACAGACCTAGAGTTAAAAATCAAAAATCAAATACATACTCAGCATATCAAACTGAAAAAAGGGAAGAAAAAAATTAAACCTTGGGTTGCAATATTGAAAGATTCTGTCGCAAAATATTGAACTATGTAGTAAGCAGCAAAAGAAGATGGAAAGACTACAGAGTCACTACACCAAAAAGAACCAGTGGACCCATCCATGTCAAGAGGTAGCATATGATCAAGAACCAATGTTACTTACTAAAGGAAGGAGTTTAATGCACTGAAAGCATTAGCTAAAGACGAGGCTCCATGAATTGATGAAATACCAGTTGAAATGTTTCAACAAGCTGGTGAAGCACTGGAAGCACCCACACATCTATATCAAGAAATGTGGAAGACAGCTAACTGACCGAAAGGGATCTGTATTAGAACAATATCATTGATATCACATGCAAGCAAAATTGTGCTGAATATCATTCAACAGTTGCAGAAATACATTGACGGGGCTGCTGGAAGTTCAAGCTGGATTCAGAAGAGGACATGGAACAAGGGACATAATTGCTAATGTCAGATGGATCTTGGCTCAAAGTGGAGAATACCGGAAAGATGTTTACTTGTGTTTTATTGACTATGCCAAGGCATTAAACTGGAGAGCCTTCAGAAGAGTAGGAATTCCAGAATATTCCACTGTACGTTGTTTATATGGATCAAGAGGCAGTTGTGTGAACAGAACAAGGGAATACTGCATGGTTTAAAATCAAGAAAGATGTCAGGGTTATAACTTTCAACATACTTATTCAGACTGGATGCTGAGCAGATTTAATCAGAGAAGCTGTGCTATATGAAGAAAAATGTGGCATCAGGTTGGAGGAGGTTTATTAACATACAGCATCATTTTGCTTGCTGAAAGTGAGGAGGGCTTGATTACTTCATCACTTCTTGATGAAGAGGAAGTATCACAGCCATCCTTAGAGATTACAACTCAGTGTAAAGCAAACAAAAATCTTCACAACTGGACCCATAGATAATATCATGATAAATGGAGAAAAGATTGAAACTGTCAATGAATGCCATGGGAGCAGCTGTAAACAGATCAAATGTCACATTGCATTGGGTAAATGTGCTTCATAAAACCAGTGTAAAGTGTTGAAACTTTGAGGACTAAGAAGAGATTGACCCACGTCATCTTATTTTCAATTGTCTCATATGTAGTTGAAAATTGGGCATTGAATAAGGAAGACCAAAGAAGAATCAATGCATTTGAATTATGGTGCCAGTAACGAAGATTGAATGTACCAAAAGAATAAACAAATCTGTCATGGAAGAAATATCGACTGAATGTTCCTTAGAAGCAAGGATGGGTGGACTTCGTCTTACACAATTTGGCCATGTTATCAGGAGAGACCAGTCAATGGGCATCCTGCTTGGTAAAGTAGAGGAGCAAAAAAAAAGAGGAAGACCTTCGATAAGATGGATTGACACTGGGGCTGGAATGATAGGTTCCAATAAGACAACAAGTAAGTGGCTGGTGCCGGACCCTGTGTTTTGTTCTGTTGCACATAAGAACCAACTCGATGGCACCTCATAACAGCAAGCTTGTTCTAGGAGTTTGCTGTAGTGAGTAGCAGAGCTCTTCACTCTTCTGTTGCAAATGTATAGAGCTTTCACTTGATGACATACCTTGGCATGGAATTTTGATCATAGGTTAAGGTTAGCTTTGGGAAATAACGTCGAACTGTTTTTCTAAAGTCTTTGTACCACTTAATGTCACAAGCAATAGAACCTATGGATCTACGTTCTCTCAATATTTTTCAGTCAGACTTCAAATTTTTTTGCCAATCAAACAGGTGTATAAATGATATCTCATGGTCCATTGATTTGCATTTTCTTCATCCTAATGATGTTGAAGACTTTTTCATATTCATTGGACAATATAATTTCTGATCTTTTATATGGGTGTTACTGTCTTTTGTTCACTTTTTATTGGAGTATTTGGTTTAGGAAACATTCTTAATGTTTTCTGATATTCTTGATACTTAATACTCGAGACTTTCATTGATTTATATGAGTTTTTTTTCACAATAAGTTTTCTTTTATTTAACACAAACTATTATTAGCAAATACTCATGTAATAAGGTGAATGTTTTTATAAATATGTCATTTTTACTTTTAATAGACAACATTATGTTTAGACTAATTTTCCATTCTTAGTGTATAAGTGCCCTCATGAAGAATTTGTATGAGTTGTTAACAATCACCTTTATATGTATTTTCCATAGATAGTGGAGTTGGAGCAGGAATTGATTCTTATTATGAATATCTGTTGAAAGCCTATGTCTTGCTTGGGGATGACAGTTTTCTGGAAAGATTTAATACAGTAAGTTGATCCAATTTTGCATTAGTTTTACAATCAATTCAATCAGAATATAGATTTTGATAGAAGTTCAGTGACCTGAGTGACATTTTAAAAAATGATTTGACTTTAAATTTGTAGTGATTTTCTGTCAGCATTCTCTAATGATGTTAGGCATGGACAGAGTGATAGCTTCAGACACTCCAAAAATTAGTTTATGATTAGCATATTAAGTCATTTTATATTCAGTTTTTATTACAAAATTTTCTTTTCTGCCAATAAGTGATGAAATATACGGATTTAAGTTTTACAGAATCTTCCATTGTACAAGGAAGACTACTTAGTAGAATATGTTATTAGTTAACTTTTTCTTTTAAATTTAAATTCCTATTGAAATCTTCTTGGTAGTTTGCATGGTACATGATCACACCAAGTACGCAGGGCCTTGGAGCCTGGGAGAAACTAGCGAGTATTCATTTTAAAACCTGGTCCATAAGTCTGAAGTCTGATCAGAACTAATAGCATGTTTCTTGGTAGAGAAGGAAGATAATTGAACCACGTTGGATTGCCTATTTTTATGATGAGGCAAATTGAAATTAATATGTATAAAAAAGTCATCAGCTAAATAACTCTTCTTTTAATAATAATTTACCATTTCTTTTATTCACTTAACACTTGGCCCATATTGTATCAGTGAGGGCGGTCTATATAGCATTTAAAGATTGAGAGTCTTCCAGCCTGGGTTTACATCCTTATTTTACCATCTACTAGCTTTGTGATTTGGGGCATGAAACTTATACTACTTGTGTCTGTTCTTCAACTTGCAAAATAGGAATATTAGTATTATTTATGGGATTATTCAGAGCATTAAATGAGCTAGTAGGTATGAAATGAATACAACAGTTTCTAACTATAGCAAACACTCAGTGATCATGAAAAAACAAATACGTTGATTTTTTTAAAAAAAACTAGTAAAATATCTTTGTCATCATTTGGAGGATATACTATTGCATATGTTGATTATTAGATTCTAACAAGAGTTTTTGGAGGTAAATGGGGACAGATGCTATTGTTGGTGGCTTGTACCATTCATTATTCCCACAGCTTGGCCTCTGTTCTTTTTTTTTTTTCCCCCAATCTCTGTTCTCAAGCTGAGAAATATCTAGAGAAGGAAACAAGAAAAGGAGTGAAAGAACTTCCAAGAAGATGAAAAAACACAGCCAACCATAAGAGTGACAACAGTAAATTCAGAAACGAAACTCACTGCCCTCTAGTCAATTCCAACTCACAGTGACCCCCATAAGACAGAGAACTGCCTCTTCATGGGAGTAGAAAGCGTCATCTTTATCCCAGCAACAGTGACTAGACACCTAATTTAGGGGATGGTGACCTCCAGATTGTTGTATCCATTGAGAAAGGAACACATTAACTAGACATAAGAGAAAGCAAGGATAATTTTGTAAATAGAAGCTGGTCGCTTCATCGGAGCATCATTGGCCATGGCACACTAACCATGAGCAAGGAACCCCAGGCAAGGAATACTCAGCTCTCCCCTCAGGAAGTCTCACATTACATATAATGACTGATGTGTTGCATCTGAGCTAAAGAGTAAAGGGAGTCTATAGATCTTAGAACTATTCTCATCTAAAAGAATTTAAATATTTAAGTTGTGTGGTTAAGTAGTTAATTAATATTTACTTATTATTTGAATTTATTTGTGTATACATTTAGGGGTAATTTCTTTGTGATGCTCTGTAGTACAATGTGTTGAGAATCATCCTTCTTTTCTCATCTACTTTCGTGCACACATATTGTCATCTTTTAGCACTATGACGCCATAATGAGGTACATTAGCCAGCCTCCTCTACTACTTGACGTGCATATCCACAAACCAATGCTGAACGCTCGGACGTGGATGGATGCTCTCCTTGCCTTTTTCCCAGGCTTACAGGTAAGTAAACAGAATTCTGCTACTGGTATTATAGTAAAATGACTATATTTAATACATTTGTGATCATTAAAATTGAAGCACTAAAACAGCCACATCTCAAAACTATGTTATTATAGGTTTTCTCTTTATATGATTATAGATAAAATCAACTCATATTGTATTAGGTAATTTTGTTGGTTTTGACTTCTAGGTTTTAAAGGGAGATATTAGACCTGCAATTGAAACACATGAAATGTTATATCAAGTGATTAAAAAACATAATTTTCTACCAGAGGTAAGCAGATGTTCTGCTAAATTCTCATTTACACATATCATATAAATTGCTGGTATAGACGTTTTTGTTGTTGCCATGAAGTCAATTCTGACTCAGCTTGATCCTCCAGAACAGAGTAGAATTACTCCTTAAAGTTTCCTACGCTGAAATCTTTAATTGAGTAGATCACCACATCTTTCCTCCTTTGGGGCTGCTGATTTGGTTTAAATCACCAACCTTTTAATTAGTAGCCAAACACTTAGCTATTGTACCACAAGAAAAAAACAAAATAACAAAAAAGTACTGCCACCTAGTATATTCCAACCCTGTGTTTTCCTAGTTTATTTATTTATTTGGTTTACACAGCACTATATATGTTTTTCTTTATTTTCATATATTAAAAGACCACAAGGTCAACAGTTTGAAACCACCAGCCACTCTGTAGGAGGAAGATGAGGCTTTCTACTCCCGTAAAGATGACAGCCTTAGAAACCCACAGGAGCAGTTCTGTTGTATCCTACGGGTTGCTATGAGTGGCCATCAACTTGGTGGCAGTGAGTTTGGTTTGGTTTTGGAGATCAGGGTAGGAGATCCTCGGATGTGCAAATGATTAATGATAACTGAAGGTTCGGCAGTTCAAGTCCATCCAGAGTACCTCATAAGAAAGGTCTGCCAATCAGCTTTAACAGAATCACCCATTGGAACCCTCCGGAGCACACTTGTATGCTGACACATTCGAGTTGCCATGATTCAGAGTAGATTCCAACAGCAGCTACTTTTTTTACTTTATTCTTTAAGGTAAGGCTGGCATTCCATTTATTTTACTTAACCGAAAAACACATTGCTGACCAGTTTTTTTTCAACTTTTCCTAATTGTATCCACCATCTTGGAAGTTCTTACCCCTTTTTTTATTTTCTAAAATTTCGTTTATGAAAATGATGTATGTGGAATGTACTCTTGGTAATCACATGTGCTACCTGGAATTTTGGACGATGCCAGCTCTTGCTCATTCCAATTGCAGGTTGCTCTTTCTAGTTTTTACATTATGTTGGCAGTAAATATTCTTGGTAATTTTATATGGCAAGAATTTTAATAGCATGCTTTCGTGGCTTCCCAGAAATATACCATCAGTATTTTCCAATTTTGTGTATGACCTTGTTCTATCACTTCTTGTTTATTGCCCACTGTGAAATAGCAGAGCATTCTATGCAACTTCCTAAAATGTTTGTTTTGGAAAATATAATGTTATTAACCTTACAGTGAATAGGACTGTAAGTTATAGGAAATTCATGTCCATACAAATAAATTGAGGTTTCAACTAAATAACAAATGATGTTTTATTTGACTCTCGTCAAGGTTTTTGTTTCTTTTTATCTTCATTTTTTATTAAGTCAAAATTTGACTCTGACATTTATGTAAGACTCCCTTTACATATTTATTTATTTTTAAAAGTATGCCTGGTCTCCATTCATAGAGGATTTGGGATGATTATGAAAGAAAACATGCTAAAATAGAAATATGCGCACTAGGAAATTAATAAAAGAGAAAAAGGAAGAAATCATTATATAAAACATAGAATCTATGTAGTAGCATTACTGCCTCATAGGTTTTTTCTGAGCTTTCTAAAAGCCAAAATGATTATTTTTAAAAAGTAATTCTATTTCATTGGTTAAAAAAAAACAGACCCTGCAAAACTGAATTGTGTTATTAAGCAAGATAATTAATGTTTTGTAAAAAATTGTGTCATGATAGATATTTTAATTACTGCTACCTGTTTATGATCTAACTTAAAAAAATCATGTCTTGCACCTAATTTGTGTGTTACTTTGTTTAGGCATTTACAATAGATTTCAGGGTACACTGGGCTCAACACCCTTTAAGGCCTGAGTTTGCAGAAAGCACCTACTTCTTATATAAAGTAAGACCGTTTACTTCTGTTTTGTTATTTAACTCATATTCTGTTAGATATCTCACCATTTTACTTTTAGCAATTGGACTTTCAAAGTTCTCATTCAGTAGTTTCTAGTTGCATGTATCATGGTCTTCAAGATTATTAAAAGTTGCAAGAACTGCTTTCTTCAGTTTTTTGCCTTTTCATAATAATAGGGTTTTTGCACTTCATTAAAGAGAAATGCTATATTCCAGAGCTTCTTTCTAAAGTGCGTCCTTTGTCTTCCATCATTCAGGCAGCCTTTCTGGGAATTAGACATTTAATCTAAAGCAGTGTTTCCCAGAGTGTGTGGTTCTGCCCCCTGGGGCCAGCTGGAACCCTGAAGGACAGGACGGAGGGTGCTGCAAAAGCAAATACTTATTCTGTAGCTTGCCTCATGGGCTGTAGTTCAAACGTTTTTCATTATTGGGCAGGAGATGCTAACTAATTTTTTTCTGAAAAGGGGGCAGTAATACGTCTGGGAACCCAGAATTCAAAGCTTAAAATATACAGTTGGACAGCTTTCCATTGTTCCTTTAAGGAACGCTCTTATTCATGGCTTATTTTCAGACCTAGGATCTGTGTAACATGAGTTCTAGTGCCTGATCCAGTGCCTGACCTAGTAGGGATACTCAATGACTATTTGCGACACAGGGAGATAGCAATATATAAACTGTGTGTATATGTGTGCGTTATATATTTTCTTCTTTTTAATAGGCTACCGGGGATCCTTACTACCTTGAAGTAGGAAAAACACTTATTGAAAATTTAAACAAATATGCTAGAGTGCCTTGTGGATTCGCTGCCATGAAGGATGTTCGTACAGGAAGTCATGAGGACAGGTAAAGCAATTCCTTAGGTCCTTTTTCCTCAGGGTAAATATTAAGCACAAGGTACAACTACTGGGTAGCATTCTTATAAACGTGATGCTATCTCAAAGAGTATTTGAGGAAGCAGACTTTAGCTTATTGTACGTTTTCTCTCTCTCTTGACTGGAATATTTTAAACTACTTGAAATGTTTTGAGGTCTGATTCTGGTTTCTGGCATATAGTGGATGGTCAACTGATATTTAAGTAAACAAATGAATTATTGTAAATATCGGAACCTTGGTATTAGGACTTGGATTGCATTTCCTCTGTTCGTAATTTCTTTATACTGTGTAAGATGATGGAAATTACCCCGATAATGAATAATCTGAGTTCTTGTTTTATGTTCAGCTAGGGATTATAGTTAGTTAATTAAATATGAATTAAAAGCAATATTATAGTTCATGTGCATATTCCTCTTTTGTTGTGGATTGAGAGGGTTTAAGAAGACCATTGGCAGTTTGTTTCACTGGACACTGGACATAAGTAGATATCCTGAAATACAAGCTATAAGAATTCTATTATAGTCATGATCATAGCCCACTGCTATCAAGTCAATTCCAGGTCATAGGAACCCTATGTTGTGTTTCTGAAACGTTTAACCTTTATAGAAGCATACAGTCTCATCTGTTTTCCAAGGAGAGGCTGGTGAATTTGAGCCAGTGCCCAAGCCACAGCAGCACTAGGAGTCCTGGGCCTTCATGAGAGTAATATTCCAGTTAGATATTCAGAGATCATTTTCTCCTTAATTTAACTGTTGAGACTAACACCAGGGCACCCTGGAATAAGGGAGGATTGGTATATGGAGCAGCAGGGGAGAGGGAGTAGGTTAGTTATGAATGGGTAGAATAAACAAATTTCTGAATGAGCACTAACGATTGTCCCTTCATTTGGTTAGCAGATTTTCATTCCCCAATTATTTACTTGGGCTATTTATGTGTCAAAAGTTGTACTAGATTTTGAGGACCAAAGATATGAAGATCTGCCCTATCTCTAGTTGAAATCACAGACAAACAGACTTTTAAACATTATGTTACTGCCGTTCAACATGCTATGGAGGCATAAAGCACAAGTTGAGTTTCATATGAGGCTAAACCTTAAGTGAGGGTCAGGTGAGGCTTCTGCAAGGTGGACCCTAAGTCTTGGGGGGTAGTCAGCACTAAAAAGAAAAGAGGCAGTCGGACACGAGGAGCACAGCCTCTTCACCCCAAGCTTGTGTCTGAGCCCTCACCCAGAGTGTCAGGTACAACTGCAGTAGTCTCCCTGGCCACTGCTGAGGAGAAATGGAGTGCTTTTGGAAGCAGGCACACGACTAACAGCAAGAAATGAAAGCAAATAGCTTATTTGGACCTTTATTACACTCTTCTAAGCACTTTACAAAGGGGCTTCCAAAAGTTTGTAGAGATTCCATTACCTTTTTTCCCCCCCATCATTTTATTGGGGGCTCATGTAACTCTTATCACAATCCATACAGCCATCCATTGTGTCAAGCACATTTGTACATTTGTTGCCATCTTCATTCTCAAAATATTTGCTTTCTACTCGAGCCCTTGATATCAGCTCTTTATTTCCCCCCTCCTTCCCTGCTCCCCCCTCCTTCATGAACCCTTAATAATTTATAAATTATTATTATGTCATATCTTACACTGTTCAATGTCCCCCTTTACCCACATTTCTGTTGTCTGTCCCACAGGGGGGAGGTTACATGTAGATCCTTGTAATCAGTTCCCCCTTTCTACCCTCCCCTCCCTCTACCTTCCCCGTATCGCCATTCTTACCACTGGTCCTGAAGGGATCATCCGTCCTGGATATCCTGTGTTTCCAGTTTCTATCTGTACCAGTGTACATCCTCTGGTCTAGCCAGATTTGTAAGGTAGAATTGGGATCATGATAGTGTGGAGGAGGAAGCATTTAAGAACTAGAGGAAAGTTGTGTGTTTCATCGGTGCTACCCTGCACCCTGACTGGCTCATCTCCTCCCCCTGACCCTTCTGTAAGGGGATGTCCAGTTGCCTAGAGATGGGCTTTAGGTCTCCACTCTGCACTCCCCCTCATTCACAATGATTTGATTTTTTGTTCTTTGATGCCTGATACCTGATCCCCTCAACACCTCGTGATCACACAGGCTGGTGTGCTTCTTCCATGTGAGCTTTGTTGCTTCTCAGATGGCCGCTTGTTTATCTTCAAGCCTTTAAGGCCCCAGACGCTACATCTTTTGATAGCCGGGCCCATTACCTTTTAATACAATTTTTCCACAAACCGTTTGAAGCCCCCTTACACACGTTTAACTTACTTGATTCTTAAAATAATTCTCTGAGGTATAAATTCTATTACAGCCCTCATTTTATAGATGAAAAAATCAAAGGACAATATAATTAAGGCACTTGCTCAAGGTCACACAATTTAACAAGGTAGTCAGAATTCCAGCCAAGGCAGATTGGCTCAACTACTGTTTCAGGGAACAGTAATTAAGCACTACCTGGATGCCAGACACTGCACTTTGTTATGAGGCTGGAATGAATAAAAAGGGCCAGCCTCTGCCTTCCTGTGATTAATGGAGAAGATAGATGTGTACAGGAAAGAATCACTACTGGAAAAAGAATAACAGGCTGTAGAACTACAGAGAAAGACATATTTTACTTTGTGTAGGGGGTCCCCTTCTTCTTAAACGTAACACCATTCTGTTTTACAACCCCATTCCTTACATGATATTTCTGAACATCTGGACACCTTTGTCTCATTCTGATTGTATTTCAGTATATCAGGTGTTTCTTAAAATATCCATAGTAACCCTATTTAAGATATGCCTGGAACAACAAACTGTTACCATCTGAATTCAGGCTAGAGAGTTCGAGAAATCTCTTGTAGATGATTTTAGATTAGAGGAGATGGCTAAGTTTCTGAGAGAAACTGATGGTCTTAGCACCCTCTATCCAATTATGTTCCATATGGGAGCATTCTATCTCTTGGGTGCCTTTGAGAACGGCTTGGTCTCTCATACTCTGTTATTAGATAGAGCACTTTAGATTTCATGGGAGCTTTTAGTCACAGTGAGCTATGACTAATTGACCTCAGAGATTTAATTCTGGCCTGCTGACAAATGGGAGTGCTTCATCCTCCTCTTGAGCAGCTGAGTTTTTAAAAGTAAGCTTAGAACTTTATTCTTATCCCATTATAATTTCAGCTTGTTGATTTTCCCCCCTTCGTGTTTTTTTAACCAAAAAGAGAGCTTGGATCTTATCTTAGTCATCAAATATTTTCATTGAGCTTGAACATGCCTTATGAAATTTTCATCAAAATTTTGGATAGGGCTGTAACCAATGGTTCATGGCATGCACTCAAGAACTTTCAACTACAGACTTTGTGCGTTGGTTACTCCTGGAACTGCTGTCTGACCCACCAGTGTGTGTGTACACACACACACACACACACACACACACACACAACTTTCAGATCTGGAATGCTTGTATTTGGTCAATAATAGATGATCGCTGTAAGGAATTCAAATGGCAAAAGGAATATAAAAATATTTCCTAAAGTACTTTCCATTACTTGTCTTTGTTAAAACAAGTAACCCCACTGGAGATCCCCTTGCAGAGGGGTCTTGGGGAGGAGATGAGCCAGTCAGGGTGCGATGTAGCAATGATGAAAAATACAACTTTCCTCTAGTTCCTAAATGCTTCCTCCCCGCCCCCACTATCATGATCCTAATTCTACCTTGGAAGTCTGGCTGGACCAGAGGATGTACACTGGTACAGATGGGAACTGGAAACACAGGGAATCCAGGGCGGATGATCCCTACAGGACCAGTGGTGTGAGTGGTGATACTGGGAGGGTAGAGGGAGAGTGGGTTGGAAAGAGGGAACCTATTACAAGGAACTATATGTGATCCTCCTCCCTGGGGGACGGACAACAGAAAAGTGGGTGAAGGGAGACGTTGGACAGGGAAAGATATGACAAAATAATAATTTATAAATTATCAAGGGCTCATGAGGGAGGGGGGAGCGGGGAGGTAGGGGAAAATTGAGGACCTAATGTCAGGGGCTTAAGTGGAGAGGAAATGTTTTGAGAATGATGAGGGCAATGAATGTACAAACATGCTTTACACAATTGATGTATGTATGGATTGTGATAAGTTGTATGAGCCCCTAATAAAACGATTTAAAGAAAAGTTAAAAAAAAAAAGTAACCACCATTAGCAATTTGATAGACAGTCCTCAAGACATATGTTGCCTGTGTGTTTCTATTTGTGTATGTGTTTGTTTTTGAAAAAGAACAAATCAGACAGATGGCTACCTGCGAGCTTTACCCTAAGCACATTGCAGTGATCTTACCAGGGCTCTCTTCTTGTTTTACGTGTTTTCAAATCATCTGGATCATGGTACGTCGTAGAGTTTGCCAAAAATCAACTTCCTGCTCATCACGTACTGTTTTTAAGACAGCAGTTACTCATGAGAGTAACTGAATGATCTAGAAAGGTTAAATTATAAATGTATTGCAGGTTGACAAGGGAAAGGTTAACAACCAACATGGCCACAAACTTTGTAAGCAATCCAGGTGAATTTTTGTCCCAAAATAAAAAAAAAATTTATGTTTACAAGTAATTATAGTTTTTATTTAGTTAATCATTTATGGCAGATAATATATGAAATAATAGACATAGAGTACTTTAAAAGGCAGTTGTATGGATTTTAACAAATTATAGGTAACATTGCGAAGAATAGGAATTCCAGAACACGTAGTTGTTCTCCTGTGGTACCTGTGCATAGTCATAAAGCAGTCATTCAAACATAACAAGAGGTGAGTACATGATTAATCCAGGAAAGGTATGTGTCAGGGTTGTATCCTTTTACCATACTGGTTCAGTCTTTATGCTGAGCAAATAAACTGAGAAAGTTGACAGTATGAAGAATCCAGCATCAGGATTGGAGGAAGACTCAATAACAAGTGTCTCTGGTGCACAGATGATACAACCTTGCTTGCTCAAATTAAAGCACTTTCTGGTGAAAATCAGAGACTACAGCCTTTAATATGGATTTGCCTCAATATAAAACAGAAATCCTTTTAAATAGACTAATAAGCAACTTTATGATAAATGGTGAGTAGATTGAAGTTTTGACGGATTTCATTTTACTTCCATCCACAATCAATGCTCATGGTAGTAGCAGTCCAGAAATCAAATGACATCTCACATTGGTCAAATCTGCTGCAAAAGATCTTATTAAAGATCTTAGTAAAAAGCAAAGGTGTCACCTGGAGGACTAATGAGCGCCAGACTCAAGCCACGGTATTTCCACGTGCCTCGTATGCATTTGAAAAGTGGACCTGGCAAGTGCAATCCGTGTAGCTGAGAGAGGCATTACTGAGCGCTGAATGAAGGTTGAACTTGATAGTGGGATAGGAAAAGGAACTAGAGCAGTGGTTCTCAACCTTCCTGATACCACGACCCTTTAATGCAGTTCCCCATGTTGTGGTGACCCCCCCAACCATAAAATTATTTTCGTTGCTACTTCATAACTGTAATGTTGCTACTGTGATGAATCAGGCGACCCCTGTGAAAGACCCTGGACCCCCAAAGGGGTTGCGACCCACAGGTTGAGAACTGCTAAAATAGAGGAAAGAACTAGGAGGTAAGAGACATTAATAGAGATATAAATATAGGTATGTATATATGTAAATATATTAATATATAATGATAGGGATACAGGTCTATGTACATATATGTTAAGCACTAAGGTAGCAAATGGATGTTGGGCCTCTACTCAAGTCCTCCCTCAACGCAAGAACAATTTGTTCAAATAACCTGGCAATCCATGGTACTTACCTTCCCGACACAATCACTGAGGACAAAATGGGTGCATAAGAAAATATGGTGAAGAAAGTGGGTGGTGCACAGCAATCAAAAGATACAGCATCTGGGGTCTTAAAGGATTGAAGTTAAACAAGCAGCCATCTAGCTAAGAAGCAAATAAGCCCACATGGAAGAAGCATAAGGTGTTGACCAGATCAGCTATCAGGTATCAAAAGATCCAAAACAAACAACTATATCGATGTGAATAAGGTGGGTTGGAGTGGAGACAATGGGACCTGCCCCCCACAGAAGGATTACAAGGAACATACAATTCAATCAGGGTGCAATATAGCACTGAAGAAACACATTATTCCTCAAGTTCCTAAATGCTCCCCCACCACTACCACCACACACACACACATACATACACACATTACCATGACCCAATTCTACCTTAAAAATCCAACTAGACCAGAGTACACACATTGGTACAGATAGGAGCTCTCGATACATGGAATTCAGGACAGATAAAACCCTTAGGGACTGTAGTGGGAATAGCGATATCATGAGGGGGAGGGCAGAAAGGGGAACCATCACAAGGTTGTTTATATTTAGCCCACCCTCCAGGGGGATGAATAACACAGTTGTGGGTGAAAGGAGACAATGACAATTTCATGTGTAAGACATGAAATAACAACAATACATAATTGATCAAGAATTCATGTAGGTTGGAGGGGGAAAAGGAGCTGATACCAAGGGCTCAAATAGAAAATGTTTTGGAAATATTGATGACAACATATGTACAAGTGTGCTTAATACAATTGAATGATGGGTTGTTATAAGACTTGTAATATTATAAATCTTACAATAAAATGATTAATCATAAAAGCTGATGGTGTCTGGCTATTAGAAGATATAGCATTTGGGGTCTTAAAGGCTTGAAGTTAAACAAGCAGCCATTTAGCAAGGACACAGCAAAGCCCACATGGAAGAAGCACACCAGCCTGTGTGATCACAGGTTGTCGATGGGATCAGGTATCAGGCATCAGAAGACCCAGAACAATCATATCAATGCAAATGAGGGGGGTTGGAATGGAGGCCCAAACTATATCTGTAGGGAACTGGACATCCCCTCAAAGAAGGGTGACAAGGAAGGGACAAGTCAGCCAGGGTGCAGTATAGCATCGATGAAGCACACAGCACTCCTAGTTCTTTAATGCTTCCTCCTCCTCACCCCGCCCCCCACTACCATAACCCAGTTCTACCTTACAAATTTAGCTAGACTGGAGCATATATACTGGTACAGATAAGAACTCTCAAGGCATGGAATGCAGGACAGATAAACCCCTGAGGAACAGTAATGGGAGTAGCGATACCATGAGGGTAGGGGGAAGGTAGTAAGAGAAGGGGGAGAAGGCAAGAACTGATTGTAATGATCAACATAACACTCCCACCCTCCCGAGGACAGATAACATAAATGTGGGTGAAGGGAGACAGCAGAAGGTATGACATGAAAATAATAATTTATAATTTGTCAAGGGTTCATGAGGTTGGGAGGGTGGGGGACAGAGGGGAAAAAGAGGAGCTGACACCCAGGGCTCAAGTAGAAAGAAAATGTTTTGAAAAGGATGATGGCAACGTATATACAAATGTGCTTGGTACAATTGATGTATAGATTGTTATAAAAGGTATAAGAGCCCCCCCTATAAAATGATTTATGAAAAGAAGAAAACGGTTTTATGTGGGACCACATTCCTTTTCATTTGTTGCAAAATTTTGATGATTTGGGGAAGATGCCTGCTTGGATTTTGTTAAACATTTGATTTTAGCACTGACCTGAAAATCGTTTCTCTGTAACAGGAAAAATACCTCTATTTTTGAGGACGCCTTAGTAAGACTAAGGCTTATGTATTTCTGAGAGAATTTGTCTGCAGCAGTCTGCTAATCTCAGAGACCTGTTTACACATTTTGTTTGAAATAGCCTCACGCGCATATGAACTGGAATACTCCAGTAATGGTTGTCGTTTTTTACTTACCTTTGTCTGTGCCAGGAACTTGACTTGGCTAGAGACATGAGACCAGGGCCATTCAGTCAACTTCCGGTTATTTCTACTGCAGGAAGCTAGCGTGCCTTGGGGGGTGGTACGATAGTTAAAAGTGATTTGACTGTAACTCCTCACATCTCTCTTCTCTTCGCTACTTTTAATTTTAGAAAAACTTTTCTTTAAAAATTACTTTAAATTCTTCAAAGTATAAAATTCAAAATTCTTTAAAATAACATTATAACATTAGATCATTTTGTAAAGCAGCATTTATTTTACCCCAATATTTCTCTCTAAAGAACCCTGCTAGCACTGTGCGTTAGGCATTGGGCTGCCAACCTCAAGGTCAGCAGTTCAGATCCATGAGCTACTCTGGGACAAGGATGAGGCTGTTAACACCTCAAGATTTATAGTCTTAGAAAATCTAGATCGGGTCACTTGTTTTAAAAAAAAAAAACTTTTCCGTATTCTCTGCCTGATAGGTATGTAAATATTTACAAGTATATTCACAGAGCATAGATGGTATTGTGTTATATTTACTTTATGTTAATATTTTGAATGATAGTCTTTATCTTTAAAACTTGCTTATCATTTAACTGAATAATTCAAGTTCCATCAACACTGCATTACTTTATTCAGTTAACGTGAATGGAAGATTCCTATATAAAGTTTGGTAGTAAAAGTCATCTGTTTTAACTCCTCGCTATTGCCTCATAGCAACCCAGTAGGACAGAGTAGAGCTGGGCTTTTGAGAACTGAAATCTTCACGGGAATAGAAAGCCTCATCTTTCTGCTGCAGAGAAGCCCATGGTTTCAAACCGCTAACTTTGTGGCTATCAGCACAGCGTGTAACTCACTACACCACCATGGTTGTTGCTGTGCATCAGAATTGATTTGATGGCAGTGAATGGTTCATTTTCTTGAGAAGAAACTGAAAATTCTTTCTTTAGAAGACCAATCAGAAAACCTGTCTGCGATGTTGAGATGAGATTTAATGTAGCCATGTGATAGGTAGCCCCTACTGACCTTTCTCATTGTGCGAGTGGGGTGGGGGTGGGGGTGAGGAATAGATAGATGGACATTTGAATTGGTGAAGATAGAGTTACTGATCTTGATTCAGATTTTCAGATAGTTGACATTTGGATATTTTTATGTTCTTAGATTTATTTATGATCCTTTATTTTAGAATGGATTCTTTCTTTTTGGCTGAAATGTTTAAATACCTTTACCTATTATTTGCGGATAAAGAAGACATTATTTTTGACATAGAAGATTACATTTTTACCACAGAGGCTCATCTGTTACCTCTGTGGCTCTCCACCACAAATCAGAGCATCCCCAAGAAGAACACGGTGAGATGCGTTTTGCATTAAGTGTCTTACCCTCTCTCATTTCTGTGTGTGTGTTTTGTGGGTTTTATTTTTTTACCCAAGTATAAAGTGATTCATGGCTGCAATTTAATAAATATGTGCGTGGAAAAGTACATAAGTACAAAAGTACATAAGTACAAAAGTACATAAAAGGAAAAGTACATTTAATGATTTCTTGTATTTTATCTATGTTTTTATTCCATTAAATGTTTTCTTTTGAAAGGTCATAATAAGTAAAATAATGTTTTTACATATAATTCTTTTTTATTGCAGACTTCAGAATATACAGAACTGGATGACAGTAATTTTGATTGGACTTGTCCAAATACTCAGATTCTCTTCCCTAATGACCCATTGTATGCTCAGAGCATCCGTGAGCCCTTAAAAAATGTGGTGGACAAGAGCTGTCCTAGAGGCATCATTAGAGTGTAAGCCATATTACCTTATACTGTTTAACAGCAGTGTAAATCCTTAGAAAGGGACAGAAAACCTAAGGAACATATAGCTACAGTCAGACCAAAAGTGTTGAGCTACGTACCTTATCACTGATTAAAATAAATATTATGAATGAATAGAGTTAGGTAGTGAAGCTTATTTTACTATAAAGGCTTTACTGTTTTGGAAATTTCCCACGTCTTTTGTTTTAGCAAACTGAGACACAGTTAACAATGGCAGTGTGTCACAGTCTCTAATGTGTATACCCTGTTTTTACATGGAACAGTTTGAACCGGTATTTCTACATGTCTTTTATGTGAAAATGTTTTCTAATGTCAGTAGTTCCTATTTATTAGATAGCTAATTTTTGTTATGCCTGGTTTTGTGTTTGGAGAAGATACTTATTCTCAGTTTTTAAATAGAATTCTTTGGTTTACTGAGTTCATTTTCTTCTGTTTTAAATTATTAGGAAGGCCATTGCAAGGATTTTTTAAAACACATTTTAAAAGGGAGAGTTATTTTTCACTTGTAGCATGTTTATTCATTGATAGCTTTTAGTATATTGGGAGACAAATCTGTATTTTTAAAGGAAAACATTAATGGTAACAAACCTCCTAACCAGCTTGTTCTGTACTTTCAAATGTGGTTGATTAATACTGCCTTATTGAAAATATACATACTTTTGCAATGGTGTGAAACAGTGAAACTGTATCACTTATTTACAATATGTTATATGTGGGAAAATAACTTTTCAGTTATTCCAATTTTACTAGTTCTACAACTAGCACTTTTGCAGTTAACTTTTTTTTTAACTTATATTCGTGTTTATTAACCAATTCTATGTAGTTTTAAGGTTTGCTATAATTACTTTTAGCAGAGAGGAGAGTTTCAGGAGTGGAGCTAAACCTCCTCTGAGAGCCCGAGATTTCATGGCCACTAACCCTGAGCATTTAGAAATCCTGAAGAAGATGGGGGTGAGTTTGATTCACCTCAAAGACGGGAGAGTTCAGTTGGTCCAACATGCAATCCAAGTAAGACATTGGTATATTAATTAGACCCCATCTCTTCCCATACCCTTTCTGATTTTATTTGCTTTAATTAAATAATAACATTTGATTTTTAAAAAACAACAAAACTTTTAATGTTTGGATTATATTTAGAGAATCAGAATTTTAAGACTAGTAGTGTTGTAGAGCCTATCTAATTCAACCCTTTTGTAATAGAAATCAGTAACTAATTCACAGATCGTTTTGGTAATTTGCTAAAATTTTAATATAGTCAAATGTAATTTTTCTGTCTATTTTCTTTCCACTATCACTTTTCTTTAGAGAGGAACCTTAAACACTAATAATTGATTTGAATATCTATAGCTTTATATTTTGTTATTTTTGTTTCCAAAGAAATACTCAATCTAAATATTCATCATAGAAATAAAAATTCATATGTATTGCTTGTTAACTAGGAAAGGTAGCATTCCTTTTTAAGAAAAAGTTATTACTTTTTAAGAAGTTTTTTTGGGGGGGGTCAGTTTTAATTAACAGGCTTTCTAGAGTTAACAGCCTGCCCGGGGCTTCAGAGTGGAATGAGAGTAAAGGGGGCAGGGTGAGGGGAGAGTGGAAGACAGTAAAGAGAGACTAGCCGAAAGCAGGAAGGGGAAAGCCAGAGAGAAGAGATGGAGAAGTGTATGGCCACACGAGCAGGTGGAGAGAGTGGCGATAGCGGGAGGGTGGAGGGAAGGTGAGGGAGAGAAGGGGAACAGATGACAAGGTCTACATGTGGCCTCCTCCCTGGGGGACGGACAGCAGAGAAGTGGGTGAGGGAGACGTTGGATGGGGTAAGATATGATAAAATAATAATAATTTATAAATTATCAAGGTTTCAGGGGGAGAAGAGAGCGGGAAGGTAGGGGGGAAAATGAGCTGACACCGAGGGCTCAAGTGGAAAGTGGGTGTTGTGAGAATGATGAAGTCAACATATGTACTAATGTGCTGGACACAAATGACGTATGTATGGATTGTGATGAGTTGTATGAGCCCCTAATAAAATGATTATTTAATTAAAAAAAAAAGAAATACAATTATTTTCTGTTCACTGCTTTGTATATTCCTTCGTAACTCTCCTTCCTTGGCACAACCCCTAAGTATAGGTATGACCAAAACATCTGGATCCGAGCTTTTTGGTTTTTTATATACTGTTCTTTAGCGGTCTCACCACTTTTACAAGCTCAGCTATCACCCTTGTATTCATGATTCCTGCATTTCAGTTTGTTTAAGCTTTAATAATGAATCCTATCTCCCTTTTCATTCTCCTCCCACCTTCACCTCACCCATTTCCCCTCCATGTGTTCTCCATCTTGGTCAACTACATCATCACCCTGTAAACCAGAGCCAGAGGTCTCAGAATGGGCTTGAACTCCCCTCCTCTCCCACATCTTCTTGTCCTTTCTCCCCTCTCAGCTCTAGTTAGGTCTGGTTAATTTTTCCTGCAAAATGCGAGGGCTCTCTCCTCCTTTCTTTCACTATTTTTGGTGACAGTATACATGAGTAAACATACATCCATTACAATTTCTCCATGTACAATTCAGTGACATTGGTTATTGACCTCACGTTGTGTCGCCATTCTCACTATAGATCTATAGAATCTCTCCTCATCTTGTCTCACCACCATTAATTTAGACTCTCTGACATTTTCAGTTGTGCTTTGGATTAAATATTGTCAATGGGAATTCCTATAGAATCTTCTTTGTAAGAGCACAATCCTCAAGGCAAACTTTATTGCTTGAGCTAAGTAAGTGTGTGGAATTAGCTTCATAGGATTGTTTAGTTCACAGCTCCATAGGATTAAACAGTTTACAGTAGCTTCATAGGATCGCTTGGGCTCATGGCTTAAAGATTATTCCTGGGGTTATGCCAGTCTCAGTGGATGTAGTATGTTTCCATTCAAATATGAACTTCTGGACCATGATTTTCTTACATTTGCTCAGGATCTGTCCATTAGGTTCTATATCCCCCGCACCCCCTCTCCTCCGTAATCAGAATCTGGCTTTCCTCCTTTTAACACGTAATTCAGATGTCCCAGATCCACACAGCAGAACCAGTTGCTTACAAGTCTATGCTTTTATTCCATACGTCCACTTGAGAAAATTCTATTGTGGTTTTTTACATGTCTTAATAGAGCCCTAGTGTGGTAGTGGGCTACCAGTGGGGCTGCTGACCCAAAAGTCAGCAGTTCAAAAGCAATAGCCACTCTGAAGGAGCATGCTGCGGCTTTCTTTCCCAGCCTCCTGGAACCACAGGGGCAACTTGACTTAGCCGGGATTGACTTGATGGCAGCGAGTGGGAGTCTGTCCTCGAGAGACAACATTCTAAGTGAAAAATGGCCTCCCAGGAACCCGCCACATTCTGAGATAGAGTTGGCCTGACACATGTTTTTTGAATGAGATTTAACCTGTTTGTTAGTTCATATTTTCAAGGAGGGGGAAGGATATAGGTTAGAAAAGTTAATTATCTGACCCCTTCTTAAAAGGGATGAGCGACAGGGCTGTCTACTCCTGTGAACAGTTCCAGACTCAGAAACTCGCTGGCTGTGGTCCTGGAGGGTCACGGTGAGTCGGCATCGACTCGTGGCAGCGAGTTTGCTTTTCTTAAAAGGGGGGACGGCGGAGATGCCAAACAATGGTAGCTTGTGAAAATTTATTTATTATTATTACTATTACGTTTTATTGGGGGCTCTTACATATAACAGTCCATAAGTCCGTTTATTAATTTAAATCAATTGTACAGGTGTTTCCATCTTCAATTTAAAAACTCTTTCTTCTTGAGCCCTTTAATATCAGCTCCTCTTTATTCCCTCCCTATGCTTTTGAGCATTTAGTTCAGTGCTGAATCTATATCAGAATTGATCTATGGAATTGTGAAAGAAATACTGATTACATGTGGCAAATACGTTATTTCTAAATATAATTTCTAGAAGTAACATTTAAATAGTAGGGACGTGAACTGAAGGAGACAGTTTCGAGTGGAAACCTACAGTGCAGTAGTATATAGGAAAAAATTGAGTAGTATATGTAGTATATAGTTATAT